TGTCAACACCTCAGAATTATGGAAAACATTCAGGCATCATGGTTTGAAGAACTGAGACATAATACAGCTCTCTCTACAATATGTATATACACACATGCAGTCATATGCAAAACAATAGAAAACTTTTTTTTATAGCTAAACCCACACTTCTTAAACTGTAAATGTCACCAAAGGTTTATATCCCAGAACATCCCATACTCATTTAATGCAGAATTAAAAAGTTTTAAATATTCTGCTTTATTGTAAATCCCAGAGAACCTTATATTATTACTTTAAAAAGTAGTTTAATAGTTACCTTTAGAAATAATTTAATAGGAATTTAGAAAAATTGACTGAAAATTGGTAAGCGGATGAGAAAAGAATACAAATTTTATTTCTATATTGAGGCGTATTTCTTTAGTAGATCCAGCAATTCAGAAGAAAGAAAAACTTTAAAAAAAAAGGAAAAAAACAGAAGATTTCTGGATTGCAGTTTCATTTTGGCATGTGTCATTGCTTCCTTGAACTGCTTTTATTATCTGGGACTTCTTAATTTCTATTTCCCAGTCTAATCTGTGACCAATGCTTTCCAGTTCATACCTATATATCAAACTGTATCATGAACCATTTCACAAACTTCAGTGGAGAAAGCAATAGGGCTACATGGTCACAAATTTGCAGATTTTTCTATATGCTTTAGTAATTGCATTAAGAAAAATGTTGGGAGCAGAAGAACAACAAAGTCAACTGCTCTGGGACACAGAAACTGAATTTAAGACAATTCAGCACAGTGTACAAATACTTTTTCTGTACTGATAAATCAAGCCTGCTTATTTGAACAAAACAAATCAGCTGGCTTTCTGCCAAGAATTTTCTGAAGTGATTTGAAGGGGAAAGAATCTGCTCTCCACCCTAAATCATTCCGTGCCAGGGAAGATATGCAGCTGCTATTGCTGCAGTCTGGATCCTGTCGGCTCAGAAAGAAATGAGCAGGAATTGCGGTTTATATGTGTGTGTCGTCAGCAGAACTGGTCTTTAGACTAGGGAGAGGACAGCATCCACATCGATTAATGATTTTTTCAAAACAAATTTCTAGATATTTGCTAAATGAGAACAGAATGTACTAAGCATCAATTACATTCAATTTAAGGATAAGCAAGAGAAGCCACATACTAAGAAAGGAATTAGGGCTTTAAACTTACAAGTCCTCAAACACTTAACTTTTTCTATAAATAATGTAATTTACATTACTCACTTGTTAGTACATTAGTCTTCATGTTGGTGTATATATACGTATATATATACATATATACATTTTTAAAGGTCATATATTATCTCTAACAAGATGTTAAAGTGGAAGTCCAGATCACAGAATCACTACCATGAGCATCACTAAGTTCTTAATGCGTGGTGCACTGACCTTAGATAGATGCCCACCAAGGCCACTCTATCACTCTCCTCCACAAGTGGATAGGGAAGAGAAAAAGATAGTGGAGGTTCATGAGTTTAGAAAAAGACAGGAAGAGATTACTCACTGATTACCATCATGGGCAAACCAGACCGAACTCGAGGAAATTAACTGAATTTATTACCAACGCAATCAGAGTAGGCTAATGACAAGTAACAAATCTTAAAAGCACCTCCCCCAACCCATTCCTCCTTCCCAGGATCTACCTACTCCCCCTCAGTGGTACAGAGAGATGGGGAATGGGGGCTACAGTCAGTCTATTACACGTTGTTCCTGCAGTTGCTCAGGGAGAGGAGTCCTTCCCCTCCTCCAGTATGGAGTCCCTTCCACAGGAGACAGTTTTCCACAAACTTTTCCAGCATGAGTCCTTCCCACAGGCTGCAGTTCTTCACAAACTGCTCCAAGGCGAGTCACTTTTCCATGGGGTGCAGTCCTTCAAGAATAATATTAATTTCATAATTATTAAGGCTTAATTAAGACTAATAATAATTTCAACCTTTAAGACAGGAGAACATGAGGCAATGAGCTACATTTCTTGTTCTTCCTCATACCTCTCAAACAACAGGAACTTATGTTCACATTCTTTAATGACTAAGCCTATCCAGACAAATTTCTTCAGTATGATTATGTTGACTATGTCCCCTGGCCTATGTCTTCAATGAGAGATGGAGATCAGGACCAGGAATGAGCTTCTGGTGAGCTTTGAGAGCTGTGAATCTTTCTTTCCCATGACTGGCTGTAGTTTAGCCTTGATGTGCTTGCCATCTGCTCACAAACAGCTGAGTGGCACAAACTGTGGATGGACTGGGCTGTGGTGGTTGAAACACTTCCCATGCCTAATCCCTCTTTCCTGCACAAATTACTGTGCTAGGTGTCTGTGTTAGGAATTCTGGGCATCTGGGCTGTGGCAATCCCAGGCACACCTACAGGTTGGGTGGGGAAGTAATTAAGATCAGCAGTGAGGACAAAGACTTGGGAGTGACAGTGGATGAGAAGCTCACCATGAGCTGCAATGGGCACTCACAGCCCAGAAAGCCAATCTAATCCTGGGCTGCATCAAAAGGAGTGTGGCCAGCAGGTCAAGGGAGGTGATTCTCCCACTCTAATCTGCTCTCGTGAGACCCCACGGGGAATACTGCATGCAGTTCTGGTGTCCTCAACATAAGAAGGACATGAAACTGTTGAAGCAAGTCCAGAGGAGGCCACAAAGTTGATAAGAGAACTGGAGCACCTCCCCTGTGAGGACAGGCTGAGGAACTTGGAGCTGTTCAGCCTGGAGAAGAGAAGACTGCGTGGAGACCTCTAGCAACTTTTCAATATCTGAAGGACCTACAAGGGAGCTGGAGAGGGACTTTGCTAGGAACTGCAATGATAGGACAAGGGATAATGGATTCAAACTGAAGGAGGGGAAGTTTAAGTTAGATATTAGAAAAAGGTTTTTTACTATAAGGGTAGTGAGACAATGGAACAGGTTGCCCAGGGATGTGGTGGCTGCCCCAACCCTGTAGGTGTTCAAGACCAGGCTGCATGAGGCCTTGAGCAACCTTATCTAGTGAGGAGATGTCCCTGCCCATGGCAGGGGGCTTGGGACTAGGTGATCTATACGGTCCATTTCAACCCTTAAATTCTATGATTCTATGATTCCTTGATTTATAGGATGAATCATATCAGAATGTGGTTCTAACAGTAGCTCTGGACTCATGGTCAGTTGACAATAGTAGACTCTCTTATTCTGCTTCTGTCAATTCCATCATGACTTTCACGAAACAAGAAAAACAACCCAGTACCATACCTGGCTTATACTACACATTTATGAGTATTAAAGAAGCTAATATTGTTTAACTTAATTTTCTTTTATACATGATGATGTGATGCTTTCTGTTTTTACTGAGTATGCCTAAGTTAGAGTATATTTAACTTTACATTAACTCTACTTAACACCAAAACAGCAGATCCAAAGTATATGAATGGTGTAATAGCTGGCCAATATTTGGATTTGTATCAGACTTACAAAGCTGTTAGGATGAATATTACTATAACATTTTAAACAAGAAATAAAACAAAGATTGTGGAGAAATAATGTAATATGAATCACGAAAAAACAAGTGATAAATGGCAATAACATCTACCAGAGAGTTAAAACAGTTTACATGACACAAATCCTCAAACAGAAAATCATTCGCTATATTGGGCTACCTCCCAAATGACAAAGTAAGAAATGGCATTCAAGAAATAGCAAGACAAATCCCTCAAAGAACTCAGATAAAATTTTTTATACCAATGACACAGTGAGAAGCATTTGACTATTTGGAACCCACATTTACTGGGATTTTCAACTAACTAAAATAACACTCCAACCCCCATAACTCATCTGGCACTGTTAATGCAAACATTCCAGATGTGGAACAGACATCTGACAATCCCTTCTTAGTGTGCAAGCCAAAAAATGAACACCCTATTTTCTATTAGCTTGGATTTGTTCTAGGAATAAATAAAAGAAAAACAAATTGCTCTGAAAACATGTAACAGATAACTGAAATAAATATTCAAAGAAATATTCAAGAACTGTCTGAACACAATGCTGTGCCATGTGCTCTAGGATGACCT